CATCTTGAAAGTTGGAGCCCCAGTAAGCATCACATGGAGCAGAGGTGAGCCATTCTTGCTCTGCCCTACCTGGATTTCTGACCCCCAGAATCATGAGAAATAAGAAAAATTATTGTCACTTTAAGCTACTGAACAATAAATAACAATTCAAGCAATGGATAACCAGAATACCCAGGTGAATTAACCATAGCTGGCCTCCTGTCTCTTGTTTCAGCACCCACACATCTGTCAAGGTTCAAGAGCCTCCTAGTTTTGACTCATTGGTCCCTACCCAAGTTGTGTTGTGTTCTAAGTATGTCACCTGAAGCACACATAACCTTCATTTTGCACAGTGCTCTGCAGAGAACCTAGCAAAAATAGGCACTTAATAAAAGGCTTCATGTTGCCATTCAGTTAATATGATGAGTCACACCAACTTTTATAGCCCAGCCAACAGACCACTTTTCCCTTCTTAGTCACCATGTCATGCTGGCAGGATCAAGGCAACACTTCTGTCTACACAGTCCTCTCATGCCAAAGGCCTTCACCCATAAAGCCTACTGATTCTATTTCCATCTGTGGGCTTTCTCAGTTTTGAATCTGTTTGGATCAAGGGCATTTTATTTTCTTCAAAAGCCAAGGCATCCTGGTTCAGATGCTTACTTACATGGAAGGAGCTCAAAGTCAACTGAATGAAGAGTCGTATACGTTTTGAAAATCCTTGAACTTGATCATCAGTGATGAAAGAGAAGATAATCTCATGAACACCCAATAAAGGAATGAGAACCAGCGTAGATTTTGCCAATCTGCAAATGACAACCAAATAACTGTCATAAGGGCCACATCGGGAATAGGCAACATTTCCTCCTCTTCTGTGCATGTCTTTAATGTAACTCTTACTACATTAATAAATAGTTGATTTTCCAATTTGTTTCCTTGGCTACACATTGGGTGTCTTATGGGCCAGTGCGGTCTTGTTCACTGATGCATCCCAACACCTGGCTCATGGCAGATGCTCAGAAACCATGAATGAGAGAGTGAATAAATGAATTTCCCCAGCT